AGGTTTACCTTCAACCAGCTCTTCTTCATCCCTGACCCGATCTGATCGAAGCACTTGGCTATCTTGGTGGTAGTGGTATGATTGTATGTGGGGAAGGATGGGTAGAGTTCTGTGTCATCTACATATTTCTGGTCCTTGAGTCCAGGCCATCTGACCAGTTCACCTAGTGGCTGTATGTAGATGTTGAATAGGACCAGACTGAAAATTGATCCATGAATTTTCGGATGAAATGGAGTTTCATTAGAAAATGCCAATTAATCAAACTTGAAATGTGTCACCAAAACATATTGGGGTTGATGAACTTCTGCTGAACCACAGGCATGTTTCTGTTAGAAAATGGGGACTGTCTTTTGATTTACAATAATTCCTAGTTCTGTATGAAATGTAATGCTCTGAATACTTGCATATTAAAAATGACTTTGGATTAGATGGACCACTGGTTCCCAAACTTTACTGGATCACGTACCACCTGCTTGAAAAATTGATGTTTGAAGTATCACATGCTTATTTCTCCTTTTTGTGCATTTTTATTTTAGGCATTAATAGGCTTACCTTAAGTACTTATGGACTCTCTAGTAAAATAATTACCTGAAGAAGCTTAAAATGTTTGATTATAACTAGGGCTATCCAAAAAACAAGAATACAGTTCAGTGAAAAATTGTGAGGCTTTGATATTTGTTTTCTTTCTGATGTGGAGTGAAACCAAAAATAAAATAAAATAGAAAGCAAGATAGAGACCTCCCCAAAATAGCCCATGATTACCTTGGATGTAAGAGACCCAGTTGAAGTCCTGCTCAGGATCAGGTGGAACAAGGACTTGAGCCTCAGTCTCCCACATCCCAGGTGAGTGTCCTAACCCAGTGGTTCTCAAGCAGGGATCTGCAGCAAACCATTTCAGGGGGTCTGCCAAGCAGGAAGCCCGAAGCCCAGGTGTCCCATGGGGCTGAAGCTCTGAGGCTCAGGGCTGTGAGTCCTGGCAGAAGCCGCCCCGTGGGGCTGAAGCCCCAAGCCCCACAACCCCACGGAGCTAAAGCTCCGAGCCACCCCTCTCCCCGAGGGGCTAAAGCCCTGAGCCTCCCGCTGAAATTTTTTGGTATGTCACTGAAGAACATTCATTCGGTTGATCTTTTTTTTTTTCACTTGTCTAAATTAAGTTTGAAGTTCTTGCTAATTCTTATCTTGATTACTGATGAATTTGAGCCAAATTTCAGTCTGGTTCTCTTTTTACAAAAGTTAAATCAAGAAAAATACAAAGCATTTTGAGTAGTTCTCGGAGAAAACAAAAAAAGTGCCATTAGTGAGAAAGGTGCGTGGGTGTAAAATGCAAGGCAGCTCAGAGGGGGGAAGAGGTAGGCAGGAGTAGGCAACCTATGGCACGTGTGCCGAAGGCGGCACGCGAGCTGATTTTCAGCGGCACTCTCACTGCCTGGGTCCTGGCCACTGGTCCGGGGGGGCTCTGCATTTTAATTTAATTTTAAATGAAGATTCTTAAACATTTTAAAAGCCTTATTTACTTTACATACAACAATAGTTTAGTTATATATTATAGACTTATAGAATGAGACCTTCTAAAAACGTTAACATGTATTACTGGCATGCGAAACCTTAAATTAGAGTGAATAAATGAAGACTCGGCACACCACTTCTGAAAGGTTGCCGACCCCTGGGAGAGTTGGGTGCGTCTTGGCTGGAAGTGAGGGTATCAGTTTCAGCTCCATGAAGCCTTTTTTGCTATTCTGCCCGTCTGACTCCCAGTGAAGCAGGGCCCCGCCTCCTAGATGCTTGCAGTGTTGGGGAAATTGCACAGGGGTTCATCCTCCTTGGCAAAGACTCCAGCTGCAGCAGACCAGCTGCTTTGCTGCTGAAGAGCCAGGCCTGTATATAGGCTTTTATTCACCAGACCAACCAATCACCCCCATCCCCAACTTCCCTGCAGAGACAGGAGAGAATTCCCCATGTGTCCCCTGCCTCGCAGCCTAGCAGGGGCCAGGCTGCAGCCTCTGTAAGGCACAGGTTACAGACGCAGCATGCTCTGCAGCAGCTTCCTGGAGCATGCCCTTTAAGTCTTGGGAGTCCTTGCAGCTGCAAGTTTTGCCTACACTTTGAACTAGCACTGTATGCATGTTCTTTTTCAGAAAAAAGGAGCTCCGGTGATGTGGCATAGGGCTTTGCAAGTTTGTCTCATGGCTTGAGTTGTGCAGTGTGGCACAAGCTGAAGGCTAGGCTCAGTAGAAATCCAGCTCACCAGATGAGAGCACTTTGCCCATCTGCACAGCCACAGTGCACAACACACCGCTAATAAAACTACTGTGCTGGCATTGTTGGTGAATGTTGTTCACTATTATGGCTAAAATTGTCCACGCACATGCATTTTGTTTCAAAACCACTTTCTGGCAAGCTGCAGCTCATGCAACCACTGTTGATTTGAAACTGAACAATTTCTTTTTAAGAGTGTCTGGCATACCACTTACAACATTCTCATGTACCACAGTTTGGGAATCACTGAGATAGGTTGTACTAAGTGAATTATGGAATGTGGATTAAGTTCTGTTTGTTTAATTGTTCTTAAATACACATGCAAACACTTTACAGAAGGGGATGGCTCAGAGGACTAGTAATGAGATATGTCCCTTTCATCTTTAGGTGAATAATGACTTAGTAACCAAAAATATTTGTTGTCTCTTCATTGGATTAAGTAAAATTAGCTGCTTGTATCAATCTTTGTTAGCAATCAAAGCAGAGACCAAGGTTTAAATGGGTATCGAGACTTGACTCTTAGAGTTGGTCCCTCAGAGACACATTAATGGTGTTTAAAAGGAAGCTTGGACTGCTGCTGCCTGTGCTGTCCCTATTTTGTGGAGGGGAAAAATAGGGCTTAAGTTTCCAGAACTGCTAGTTTGCCACCTTTCGCTCGTACTAAAACTATATTTAAAGTCTCCAGAATTGTTTTCAGTCCTAAAGAAGTGCTGTCTAGTCCTCCTTGGCCACCCAGTGGCCTCAGTGTGGGACCTCTTGGAAAGAAGTTTGAAGACAGGAAAGAATTAGTACTTCAGTACTGTGGCTGTGGTATGGAAGAACTCATTTACAGAGGAAGGGGGAAATTTTGCATAATTTGTCTTTAGTTTTTCTTCTCTGTGATTAAACTTATAGGACTGCTAGGCAATAATAACTAATATAGGCGTCCATCATGCCTATTGAGGCTTGGCAATCTGAAGTCCCAGTACTAAAGAGTTAACATGGTTTGAATTTGTTCTGGATATTACTGTCTGTCTGACTGAGAATCCCCAAGGCTCTGTGTGGCAGGCTCTCTCTTTCAAAGCTTTGGTTGCTTTTTGCTGACATGCACACAAAATGACAAACCAAAGAAGAAAAAGAATGGAAGGCTTATACTTTTCTGTAGTGTATTAAATGTAGATGAAAGAGGCCATTCATTCTTGCAGGTGTAGTCTTGTGAGCTGTTAAGCTCTGTTCAGGTATGAAAAGTGAAATATGTAGCCGGGTGTAATGAGTTCAATATCCTTCCTTCCCATATACCTCCATCTCAAATATCTCTGCCTTTTTTTGTCTGCCGTAGTATCTCTTAATGAAATGCCATGCAATATGATGTCACGTCTGGGAGGGAAGAGCAAGTACTATATACCAGCTTAGTGTTGGCTTTCAGTTTAACCTCAGCTGTTTGTGCAACCACACACAAAATTACATTAGAAGGATACATTTCTTGTTATTTCTACTTCTTTTCATATTAGCTAAGCTATTTCAGGGATTCTCAACCATTTTCGTTGAAAGTCCCCCTCCCCCAACATGCAATAAAAACTCCAGAGCCGGGGGGGGGGGAAATAGAGGCTCCGGGCTTCAGCCTCAGGGGGGTGCTTCTGTCCTGCAGGGAGTGGGGCTCAGGAACCCTGTGGGATGGAAGGCTTGAGGGTTTTGCCCCACAGGGTGGGGTCTCAGACCTTTAGCACCTTGGGGTGGGGGGTGACTTGGGGCTTTAGCTAGGGTTACCATATTTCCACAATCAAAAAAGAGGACACGGGGGGGGGG